CATGTGAAAACCCCCTTGTGTATTCCACCACCCTTTACTCTAAGAGGATCTGGCGTTGAAAGGAGCCAGGGTGTCCTGAGGAGATTTCAGAGCCCCGGCCCCTGCCCATGCCTTTGGGAGCCCACAGGGGCAGTGGCCTTCCCAGCTCTGGGACCACACCTTTGAGCAGAGGGGACAGGAAGGAATGCCTGGGGTGTTTGTGCTCAGGACAGTGCAAGCCCCTTTCCACATGTGAACGCTCACACGGCTGCTGGGTGGCTGAGATAAGGCGTCAAGTGTCTGGCAAGCGTTCGTCCCCATCCTCATCCCTAGTGTCAGCCCCTAACGCATGCTGGCCACGGGAGAGGGGAAGAGGAAGGAGAGCACTCTCGCTTCCACAGGAGGAAGAACTTTCTAACAACAGAGGTGGCCCGCACGGCATGCCAGCTGCCAGTGGTAGCCTCCCTGTCTCCAGTGGGACCTGGGTTGCAGTGGCCAGGGCCCCTGGAGTAGGGCAAGGCAGCCTTCTCTGGCTTCCTCAGGGTTAGGTGGAAAGGGTGGTAGGTTCAGTTCTGAGATGCCAGGCTGCAGGGGAAGGACGCTGAGAGCCCCAGCCGGTGCGGGGAGGGAAGAGGAGGGAGGACAGGCGGTGCTGGGTGCCAGGCTCCCTGCCTCCGGGCCACTGGGGGTGGGAGCCGGCTTGCCCTGGCTTGGAGAGGCAGGGTGCAGAGCGCTCACCTCTCACTAGTGGGGTCGGAGCAGTTCAGCGGGTACTTGAGGTGGATGATGGTGCCGTCGCGATCCTGCAGGACGCCCTGCTGCTGAGTGTAGTACTCCACCAGCTCCGTCAGCGTGGCCAAACTTCTCCCCTCCATACAGGTCGTAGAAATCCCCCTGAGTTCTGGATCCGAATATGGGTCACCTGATCCCCCACCCTGCGGGGCACCAGGCGGTGAGGCCAGTAGGTGCAGGAGTAGAGGCAGGAGGGCAGGGATCGGCGGAGGTCCTGGGTGAGGCACACATGGCATGGGTGGGCACAGACAGGGACGGGGAGCAGCGGGGGGCGGGGCGCGAGGGCACAGACCGGGCATGGGGGCTGCAGGGAACCCGAATGTGTGGTTCAGGGCCCGGACAGCACAAGAGAGCAGCCAAACGCTGGGGAGGGCCCACCTACCTGACAGAGAGCGAGAAGTCACCCTGGTTCTTGCGACTGGGCCGAGCCAGGAAGCTGCCATGGACGCCTCGGCCCTTGAGCAGGGTCTCTGCATCCAGCCCACTGAGGTCTCGGTGAAACCACCTGAGTGGCCCAGGCAGGGCAGTGAGGAGGGGTCCCGTGGGCACCGGGCACCCTTGCCATCCCCTGCCTACTGAGGGTGGCAGGCCCTTACCTCACCATCCTGGGGGCTTCCGAGAGAGGAGGGGGCGCAGGGAATGAGGTGGTGCAGCTAGTCTGGGCAGGCAGAAGAACTCGTGGACTAAGCCTCAGGCCTGGCTCCCAGTGCCAAGCCTGCCTCACCGGCCCCCGGTGGTTCCCCGTTCTGGAGCTGCCACTCCACTGGCCTAGGGCAGCCAGCAGGGCGGGGACAGGAAGAGGCGCGGCCGACCCCTGGGGGAACTCACTTGTACTTCTCGTTTTTAGAGTAGAGCAAGGGAAGAGAAGCAGAGCATGGTGGCACTGGGGGTGGGGACGGGGCCCACTTCCCACACGTCTGCAATCAAAGGCTCAGGAGCATGACCCTGCACGTATGTGACACCACATGCAGTAAGGACACATATTGTGCTTGCACACTAAAGGCCCAGATCATACTTCACGCATGTGAACCTAACGGTCACATGGCACCATCTTCCTCCTCCAACTGCCGCTTTGACACGTCCTCCCTGGCCCACACTAATAACAATGATGGCGGTGACAGCTGATCATCGAGTGAGTCCTTCTGGATACTGCTGTGCTATAATGGCGTTCAGTGCCTCGTCTGATTGGTTTCTCACCACAGCCTACGAAACAGGGGCTCTCTTTCTCCTCATTTGACAGACAAGGACCTGAAGCCCAGGGAGTTCAAGGCATTCCTGAGTCCATCACAGTGAGTCAGCTGCCAGTGCTAGGATTCAAACCCAGGCAGTCCGGTTCCAAAGCCGAGCTTCTTTTTTTTTTTTTTTTTTTTTGAGACGGAGTTTCGCTCTTGTACCCAGGCTGGAGTGCAATGGCGCGATCTCGGCTCACCTGCAACCTCCGCCTCCTGGGTTCAGGCAATTCTCCTGCCTCAGCCTCCTGAGTAGCTGGGATTACAGGCACACGCCACCATGCCCAGCTAATGTTTTATATTTTTAGTAGAGATGGGGTTTCACCATGTTGACCAGGATGGTCTCGATCTCCTGACCTCCTGATCCACCCGCCTCGGCCTCCCCAAAGTGCTGGGATTATAGGCTTGAGCCACCACGCCAGGCCCAAAGCCGATGCTTCTAACTCCTATACACCAGTCCTCAGGGCTTCAAAGAACAGAGATTGAGAGCCTCCTTGTCCAAAGGGGCTGCCATGAGAGGCGGAATATTAATAGTTAAGACCTTGTCAACGCTTGCAAGAGAGACAGGTGCCCTCCTCTAAGCAACATAACGCGGTTTGTCCATGCCACTGTGGCAAAGGCATGGGCAAAATGACCCTGAGCAGCCCCGTCAGACTTGGGTCCTTTCTAATTCTTGTCCCTAGGCCTCTGCCCTGCCCTGGGACTCTGACCAGGGGGCCTGTCTCCTTGGGGCCTCGGGACTGGAGGCTGGGGGCGAAGGGCCTCGCCATGGCTGATTTTCTCAGGCTGGCTGACCTGAGAGGCCCTAAACACTAAGGTATATGATGCTCCCTGCTTGTAATTCAAAATAAAACTAACTTTCTGCCGGGTGCAGTGGCTCAAGCCTGTAATCCCAGCACTTTGGGAGGCCGAGGCGGGTGGATCACGAGGTCGAGAGATCGAGACCATCCTGGTCAACATGGTGAAACCCCGTCTCTACTAAAAGTGCAAAAAATTAGCTGGGCATGGTGGCACGTGCCTGTAATCCCAGCTACTCAGGAGGCTGAGGCAGGAGAATTGCCTGAGCCCAGGAGAAGGAGGTTGCGGTGAGCCGAGATCGTGCCATTGCACTCCAGCCTGGGTAACAAGGCGAAACTCCGTCTCAAAAAAAAAAAAAAAAAAAAAAAAAAAAAAAAAAAAAACTTTCTTTCTTTCTCTCTTTCTCTCTGTCTCTCTTTCGATGAAGTCTTGCTCTGCCACCAGGCTGGAGTGCAGTGGTGCGATCTTAGCTCACTGCAACCTTCACCTTCTGAGTTCAAGCGATTCTCCTGCCCCAGCCTCCTGAGTAGCTGGGACTACAGGCACACACCACCAATGACAGCTAATTTTTGTATTTTTAGTAGAGACGGGTTTTCACCATGTTGGCCAGAATGGTCTCAAACTCCTGACCTCGTGATCTGACTGCCTCGGCCTCCCAAAGTGCTGGGATTACAGGCATAAGCCACTGTGCCTGGCCATCTTTTTCAATGTTATATGATGGGCATGCATTACCTTTATAAAAATAAATATGCTAACTGGGAGCAATTTCTGGGGAAATTTTAGGGTGCAGGGAAGGCTCTTTGTCTCTACCTGGATGCTTTTTGCATGGGTGTGTATAAACATGAAGTCAGTCAGGTTCTGTGCTTAATATTTATGAATATTACGCATGTTATGCTTCAATTAAAAGAAGAAAAAATAAGCCAGGCGCGGTGGCTCATGCCTGTAATCCCAGCACTTTGGGAGGCTGAGGCGGGTGGATCACGAGGTCGAGAGATCGAGACCATCCTGGTCAACATGGTGAAACCCCGT